GGGAAAGAGGATAATTAACCAACATGCCGAAGAACAAGGGGAAGGGAGGAAAGAACAGAAAGAGAGGAAAGAATGAAGCAGACGATGAGAAGCGTGAGCTCGTCTTCAAGGAAGACGGGCAGGAATATGCCCAAGTGCTCAGAATGCTCGGCAATGGCCGTTGTGAAGCCACGTGCATTGACGGGACCAAACGCCTTTGTCACATCCGGGGAAAGATGCACAAAAAGGTTTGGATTGCAGCAGGGGACATCATTCTCGTCGGTCTCCGTGACTATCAGGACGACAAAGCCGATGTGATCCTCAAGTACATGCCCGATGAGGCCAGGCTTCTCAAGGCCTATGGTGAGCTGCCTGAGAGCACTCGTCTTAACGAGGGCATTGCTGGAGGTCTCGAGGATGAAGATGAAGGTGCCGGTGATGATTACATCGAGTTTGAGGATGAAGACATTGATAAGATATAGGTGTGATTCCAGTTTGTCTGGAGTTTTTTGTTGTTATAAAGTGCTGTGCTTGGTGCCTATCGGCCAAAAGTTATAAATCATTATTTATAAGTTGTACTTCATAAAATCTGGATATTTTTCAGGCTGTGTGCTTGTCGTGATTGCTGTAACATCTGCTCTTACTAATAGATGTACCGTGTTTGTACCTTTCTTTTGGCAAATACTATTTATTTCTGATGCCTATGTAGCTTGCTCTGCTGTTACTGTTTTGCACTGAATACTCGACTTGTATGATCCTGCAAAGTTCATTGCTCTTTGCATACTGTTCTATTTGCCTGATGTTTCATTTTATTCTTTAGTTCCGCCCCCCGTTCCCCTTTATCTATAAACAGGAAATTAAGGGCCGATGAATTGAACGGAAAGAACCTGACTCTATTACACTCGCAGTATGGGCTCAATTTCACTACCAAGTGTCGAATTGCTTGATCCATTGACGAAGATTTTAAAGTTGGGCTCTAGAGAATCGATTGTGTCTTGATTCTTGAATCCATCCTAGGTAGTGGAGAAAGAAAGGCATTCCAATTCTCTGGCGTGGGATGTTCCACTTGCATATGTTGTGGTGCTCAACTGACGACTAAGGAGCGAGCGCTAATAAGAGGTAGAGGTTTTTATTCTGTGTTAAAATGTAATATGCTTGCTCTGACAATGTTCTGCAGGATAGAATGCGTTATGCTTTGTGCAATTCACTAACCTAGTCCTATAAACAAGTCTAGAACATTACAGAAGTACGGAAGAGTGTTACTTCATACACCTTCTATATTATTACCCCGTTTAATTTAGGATGTTTCGTGATAATGGATGTAGGACTCTGTGGTTTTCAACATTTTGTTTTAATCAATCTCATCATCAATTTACAAATATCAAACAACCGTTTAATTATTTTTGACATGGGTTCAGCTACCTAGCAATTCAAGTTGGCGCTCCTGGCTAGTGCTGAGTGATTACTTTAAATAAAATAATTACTTGGATTCATAACACTCTACAAGGGAGTTCAGTATCATGGTAGAAAGTTCACACAACAGAAACATTACAAGTGTGGCAAGACTCTACTTATTTCCCAATTTGGAGGAGATCAATAACTTATAGATTGAAGGATATTCACTCATGATTGTCAACTGCTGACTTTTCTGCTTGGTGCCTTTTATCTCTAGTGTCCTCCTTGAATGTTCCTTCTTTTTTTACCTGTAAAAATGTGATGTTTGATATTTACGTTAGATTGAGACAACTAATTCAATCAACCATTTTATCTAGTACAAGTTAGAACCCCAAAATAGAGTAAGAAAATGGCAAAGCTTTCCTGTGATCTACGGAGTTCTTGTATATGAGATTTATACCTTGGTGTTGGTATAATCTTTTGGGCAGTGATTGCTTGGAACTGTCTTTCGCTTTGATACATTTCTTATCGTAATAGTCTTCCTATTTCTAGTAGGCTTGGAACCATCTTTCCAATTTGCTACTGAGATGCCATCAAATGAGACAGACACTTCATTTGATCCACAGCTCTCTTTTTCTTCCCCTGCTATTTCGAAAAATGTTTTGCCGGTTTTGAATCTTTGGTTCCTGTAAATTAGCTCCACTGGCTTACTTGTGCGGCTTTCAACCGGGGCTGTTTCTGGGAAGCGCGTCGCCATCCATCGTTCCAGCCAGCTCCAACCCATGTTGGGTTCTTTGTCATTCAATTTTGCCTCTCTTTTCTTCGAACAGAGTCTTAGCTGTAAAAATGCAGGAATAAAAGTCAACGATTGCAAGATCATCAAGATTGTCTTAAAGATTTGTCTCAGGAAAGAATTTCCAACATGCCTGTTGTGAAAAGGCATATGCTAGTGCTCTCTCGCGCCTGGTGGATGCCTCTAGTCTGTTCTGTATCCTCATTTTGGTTATGTTGCTGCTAACTGTGCTATCATCCCAGTCTTCCTGTACATTTTGCTTGGTTTAAGTTGTAGAATTATTTGTTTCTTACATGTGAAAGAGGGCTAATCTGATACATTTATCCAAAGTAGTTTTACAGCCTTAAGCCAATGTACAATATCAGCAAGCTTAATCTGACACATTTCTTACATGTGAAAGAGGCTTTATCTGATACATTTCTCATCATTTATGTTCTTGGCATAATAGGAGTATATATGAACTTGAGCTGTTATTGCAGCAGAGCTAGTATAATGCGACACTCTTTATCTTCATTTATCTATTTGTGTTTTCCTTTTTCTTTTGATAAATAAATTTAAATTTGTAATAAGAGTTTAATTTTTTTAAGAGTCCAAAAATCTATGAATTTATATAGTACTATAGTTGATTTTTCACTTATTTGAGGCTTTAATTTTGACACACTGAGTATATTTAAAAGTCAAAACGTGGGATATAATTAATTTTTAAATTTTAATATTGTGATTCGAAATCGAAGGGAGATCTTTCATACTTTTCAAGATACACCCTGAGAGTAAAATTATATTAAAAAAAGAAAGAAAAAATTGCATAATTTACTTTCTTACTCTTGATAAATATTTTTTTATCAGTGTAATTATTTAATTAAAAAGATTATAAATTAAAAATAAAAAGTGAAAATCTGGATGTATACACACTTTCAAAGATTACTAAAAAAAATATTGAGAGCAAAAGTTCTTGACTCCTTGGGCCCAGGAGGCAGCTACCCACCCAGAGCCTAAGCTAACCCCGCCCTGGTCCGAAGTAAAGACGCGGCAATATAATGAATCGTTTTAAACTAATGTCATTCGAAATTAGGATAATTCTATGGTGGGATACAAAGCTTTATCTTGCATTTCTTGCTAGTAGCCTGGTAGTTTGCAATTTTTGTACCGTCATATTTTTTGTTATTAAATTGTGTTCAAGTCACATACTTTTTTTGGCTTTATGTCGTACCAATAATTTTTTTTTCTTTTTCTTTTTTACTCTACCACAAACTTATTATTGAAACAGAGTTAAAAGTAATATGATACGAAAGCTACCACCTCATAACCAGCTGGCTAAAGCTTGTATTCTCTTACCTAAAGGGTAGGGATTTGAGTCCCACCTGACAATTAAGGAGACATTCGGTTGGAGGATTCAATTCATGATGTGAATCATGATTCATAGTTCGCTACAGTATTTTTTCTCACAAAAATACACGTAAATCAAAAATAGTTATAATCTCATGATTCTAATCTAGGAATCAAACGTCTCCTAAGAGTTCGTTTGATATGAGGGTTTAAATGAATATAATTTTAATTTTAATTTTAGAATCAGAATCATGATTCATGATTTTATGTCTAAATTATTATTCTGAAATTAGAACTAGAATTAGGGGTTTGAACCACTCAAAACTAGAAGGGAGGGGGTTTTAGAATTAAGGGTGATTCATAGTTTAAAACATCACATCAGGATTTAAACCTTGAATTAGAACTACCTAACCAAATACTAATTTTGAATAAATTAAATCAGAACTACTTTTTACTTTTTATAAACAAATACTGATTCTGAACTAGAATAAAATAATTAAGACTCTTTTTACTTGAGGAAAGACAGAGAAAAAAAAAAACGTCTAAAAACTCAAACACCTTGCCAAAAGAAAGAAAGAAATTAAAAAAAAATCGGTTGAGTTGTCGCCTTTTCCTATTTGTGGTCCTTTAGACAACAAAAGCATTCTAAGTTCATCTCATGAGATATTTTTTTTATGTAAAGTGAATGTGTGACCTACAATAAAGCTTATGATACCAAGCGAGAAGTGGAGGCATGGCAATCGGAGTTGATGGAAAAAAGCAACTATTCTTGGGATGATTTCTTAAAGAAAATGTACCCAAATGGTAAAAATTGAATTATGTCTACTTAATTTGACAATATTAATTTTACAAGTGAAAATCAAGATTGTAAGCTATTCTCCATTTGTTTTCCTCAATGATTATTCACTCATTAACTTTGTAACAGTTTTACTAAGTAGTTGAAATTTGATTTAGTGTACGTTTGGTTCATGAGTTTAGAATTATGATTCATAATTATTTTCAATTTATGTGTATTTTTTATAAAAAAAAATATTATAACGAATTACGAACCATGAGCCGAATCATGACACGAATCCTTACTCCAAACGCGGAATTGGTAAGCGAAAACTAGGCTTACTAACCTTTATAACCAGAGTTCTGACTTTCTGTTGTGCCCGGCGTTGAACGGCAGTTCTTTCTTCTAGAGCAGAGAAATCTTCCACTGAATTTCCTGTTTGAACTTCCATTGATGTTCCATGAGACTCTCTACTCGGACTTTCATTTTCACCACCCTTCCACTTAATTGCTTCACTTTTACGCCTAGCCTGAAAATCCAACCACTCACAATGACTAAAAAAAAAGTAGCCAAAATTCTCAAAGTAACAAATTAACATACAATACAATCCTCTTTTCAAATTTGAAACTTTACTACTTTAAACATTGCATTAAAAAATTTCGAGTGTTTATGACAGTATGTAATAACCAGAAAGCCTCTAAATGCTGACTGTATGATTATTGCCGCTTGTTCCTCTCTCATCATGTCTTTGGAGGCTAAGTGGTGAAGCTTTTGCACTTGTAGTAAATAATAATACTCATCTTCTATTGGTTGTGTAACTGTGGCCTCAGAGCTCTTAACTGAACCAGATTCCTCATCTTCAAGAACTGAATTTAGCTCTGGAATTATGCCTTCAAAGCTCATAACCGAACCCGAATCCTTCTCCGCAAGGACTGAATTGAGTGGTGTGGGTGAAGTTTCCGCATGCGAAGCAGAATCTTCCTCTGATAGGACTGATTTATGTTCATCCCCACATAGGTATGATCTAACTGAGTTCTTCCATCTTCTCTTTTCAGCCATATTGCTCCTTACCTAAATGATACAAAGAAAACAAAACCAAAAAAGAAAAAAAAAAATATTTAGTGTGAACAAGTGTATATCGATGTGATATTTGATGGGATAAAAAACGACAACATTAAAATTTGATGCATACCCAATTTGAAGAAGCATTTGCATAATGAGAATACACACTTGAAAGAAAGCATTAGTGTGAGAAAGATGTTGATAAGAGAGTGAGAAACTCACATTGTTGTCACGGTTCTTTGAGAAGACGCTTCTAACCAACCCACTAGTGATACCCATCTCATGAGAAATATTTTCTGAGATGATAGATTAGATTGTCTACAACTATACTTCTAGAGTGCTAAAGAGATCCCCCCTAAATTATTTATATATATATATATATTTTTTTTTTCTAAAAAAAGGTTATAAAATGACCTCCTCAAGTTAATTAATTAAGCTTTGTCTAATGATACTTTATTAGTAAGAGAAGAGAAAATTGAAGCAGAGCTATAATTAATTCATAATATTTGAGGAGAGTGCAGGGCTTTAGAGCTGGAAATGTACTTTTGAATCACAAAAATAATGGAGACTGAAAAGTGAAGATTAGATAAGAAGAGAAAATTGAAGCAGAGCTATAATTAATTCATAATATTTGAGGAGAGTGCAGGGCTTTAGAGCTGGAAATGTACTTTTGAATCACAAAAATAATGGAGACTGAAAAGTGAAGATTAGATAGAAAGGATGGGTTTGAGGACTCAATTGTTATTATTACTTTTTTTTTTTTTCTTTGCATACACTTTTTGCACATGGCTAGCAGTGGATTAGGCTCATATAAAAGTTTGCTTGCTATTGGGGTCATGTCTATTCCTATATTTTCTTTCTGGTTACAGCTTATTGAATCTTTCCCCTAAGTAAACTCTTTTTATGGGTTGTTACAAGCTGTTTGGTTTCTTCAACCTTAAAAAAGACACTTGCCAAAAACCTTTTAATAGTCACACTTGTATTGCCTACTAATGAGTTGCTAAAGTTCTTTTTTTTCCCCCCCCAAAAGTGGACATGTCTAATCTATGAGAACCAATAAAGTTATGGACAATCACAAGATTTGGAAACAAAAAAGACTAAAATTGTTTGAAGCAATTAAAAGGTAAACATATAAGTTAGCAAGCAAGTTTTGATACTGAAGTTTCTATAAAAGATTTTGGATCAAGACGTGTATTGTTGACTCAAGAATTGTACACGGTAACAATAATGGAAATGTCGGTATTTAGTATGCTGCAAAGAATGAGAATTAGGTTATGGTGTGCTCGAAACTACATACTTAAAAGAGAGATTGTCTTTTTGGTACAACAAGAGAGTGCAGGGCTCCAGCAACTGGGAAAGGACAAATAGCACTGAGGCAGGAGACCGCAGAAGGAGAAAGGAGCAGGGGCAAAACGGTGAAATCAACACGTGACGGCAAAAAGACCAAGCAGCCCCTGCACCGAATAAAGAAAAAGGAGGGGAAGAAGGGCAAAACGGGCATTCTACTGTAGAGAGAACAGTAAAGTGGGTCTGCGTAAACAAATATTAAAAGGCTTGTCAGCTCAATGTGAATTTATCAACCAAAATTGACGAACAATTATAAAATTTATAATTTTATTCTTATATTTACCACCTGCTTATGGATAAGTGATGTTGTACACCAAGAGTCTCATATCGGTTGGAGATGAGGGTCTGGAGAGGTATATGTACCAGAGTGCCAACCCCTCTTACTAGCGAGGCGCCTTTTACGAAGGGACAAAACCCCACCCGTCACGGCGGGCCCAAGTGGGGACAATACTTCGCCGGTGGGCCATCGGTGTGTGAGAAATTCTGGTATCAACAAGTGATAATCATATTTTTATAACATTATAGCGAAATTACACATAAGTAGTTACCAAAAGTGCAAAAGTTCAAGTCTTTAATGGGTTTTATAGTAGTAAAGAGAGCATTTTGCATGTAATATTAATATTTATGTAAATTTTGAGTTATCATGCGACAGATAAATTATTATCTATGTTAAATTTTAAAAATTTTCTGTTAGTTTTATATCAAGTAGTAAAATTGTCAAAAAATAATAATAATAATAAATAAATCTATGAATAGTCCTTGAATTCTTTTCTTTCTCTAAAATTAATTCATGTAGGAAATTTTGCCTCATAAATAGTCTGCTGAACTAAAAAAAACAAAAAAGGTCTCATGATTATCTAATAAATTTTAGATAGAAACCATTAATTTTACCTCAAAAAAATCCTTAACTATCTTCTTTCTTTATAAATAGCCCTTATGTTAAAAGTTGTACTATATTTAGTTCCTAAATTTTTTTTTTAAAAAAAGATGCTAAACGTAATTTTATTAAATAAATAGATGAAAAACATTAAATATGAGACCATAATAGTCCCTAAACTAAAAAAAAAAAAGCCAAAATTAGTTTCTTTGCTACATACATTTGTCGTCTTTTTTTTTTTTATCTATTTATTCATTTAACTTTGATAAGGTTTTTTTTAGGCACCATATTATAAATGTTTCCAAATTATTATTGTCGGATAATAATCTTTAAAATGTATACTTTTATAAATATCTTTTGTATTATACCCATTGTAATCCTTTTATATTCCTAATCTTAGACTTCAGTTTTTTTATGAGTAAAAAAACTTCTGTAAAAAAATCAAAATTACAAACAAATTTAATTTAAAACAAAACAAAACATTGAAACCTAGAATATTCAAAATTCAACCAAGAAGACAATGCTCGTATATAAATATATATATATATATGTATATATATATTACCCTTGATTCAACGGCTCACATTTAACATTTTCCATCTTTTTTTTAACAAATGAATTAATTTTGACATATTATTATTTTTTTAATTTAGGAACTAAATTTAATACAACTTTTAGTATAGGGACTATTTATAGAGAGAAGATAGTTCGAAGATCTTTTATAAGATAAAATTAATGGTTTTGCATTAAAAATTTAACAGTTTATGAAACACTTTTTGAGTTCAAAGACTATTTATAGGATAAAATTGACTATGATGATTAATTTTAGAGAGAGAGAAAAATTCAGAAACTATTTATGAATTTATTCCAAAAATTAAAGTTCAGAGTGCCTTGTCAAAACTAAAATTCAAGAACTAAAAGTATAACAATAGTCCAAGGACTGTTGGTGCTAAGAACCCAAAATTATAAGGTGTAATTAATAAGCTGCGCTCCTAACATGTTGATTTTCTCATGCAAAAGTGGATCTATTTGGATCCAAAAGGGCAGTTAGTTATTTTAACTCCCACTAGAAATGTTGCACTATTTAAAAAAGATCAAAGATTTCTGGCAGTTTAATTTCTTGAATTTTGACTGAATTGGTGATTTGCCCCCATAAATTTTAATTGTCGTAAATTGTTCCTCAATATAATAAAATGTTGTAGAGTGGCCCTAAATGGATAAACTATGTTAAAATTTGGGAGGAAACTAGTATGAAACTTCAACGACCTCAATGAAACTGTTTCCATTCAAAATTTAATCACTGTATTGATTAGTGTACTGCAACAGTTGAATTTTAATTTTAAAATTCAGGCCATGTTTGATAGTTTGTATTGTATTGTATTGTATTATTATTATACAATACGGTATTTGGTGTTATGACGTATTGTATAAGGGGTCAAATTGTAAAATTTTAATAATTTTAGGCTCAAAATGTAAGGTTTTGAAAAATTTTAGGGTTAAAATATAATTTTTCAAAAGATTTGGGGTAAAAGTGTAATGTTACAAAAGTTTTGGGATCAAAATGTAATTTTATAAAAGTTTTGGGGTCAAAATGTAATTTTTTCTAAAAATATAAATTTTCATTGTTTCCTCTCAATTTTTTGACAATTATAAGCTCCGACATGACCCTATGTTGGCCCCACCCGACCCCTAGTCTTGCCCAATCCCGAAATAAATCATCAATCTATTATAAAATAATACAATATAATACACTAAACATGAGTCATATTATATAATACGACATAGACTGTATTAATTTACCATTCATATTAGTTTATACAATACGATGATCACACTAATCATTATATTATTATATTATTATACAATACGGTACTCTAATATGATCAAACAAACATGCCCTGAAAATAACTTGTCAATTGTGAATAGTTTTAAAACAAATGTGTCAATTTATCAAAAATAAAGGTCCCCGGCACGTGCCACAAACTAGAGAGCTTCATCATAAATATGAAACTTTGATGTAATGCATACATTAGATCATTCCATAAGTGGTCCTTACATATTAGGCAATTTTAGTGGCTGCCATTGTCAAGAAGGAATATTTGAGGATGTTTAAGATGAATTTCAGACCAAAATTACAAAATCATCTCTGCTTGCAATTATGACGGCCTCTCATGCCCCCCCAAAATATTTGAGGATGTTTACAAAATCATATTTGAGGATGTTTAAGATGAATTTGAGGATGTTTGGATGGATAATGTAAAAGTGTTTTTAACTTTAATAAGTTTTTTTTGAAACAAGTCATCTCATAAGGAGATGTTTGGTAAGGAGATTTATACAATGATTTCAATCATGATTCATAATTTGCTACAGTATTTTCTCTTATAAAAAATACACGTAAATCGAAAATAATTCTAATCTCATGATTATAATCTATAAACCAAACGTCTACTTAAGTGTTTAAAAACTTTTTTATTTACTTTTTTAACCTTAATTAAAAATTTTATCCATATCCTTTTATTACATTACTTTTTAATACAATAAAAGTTTTTGATTTATTTACCAAACATGTTCAAAAGCTCTTCTGAAATGAACACTAATAGAAAAGCTCCGACTTACGCTTCTCTTCTTCTACTAACAAGCTCTTCTAAACGGGTCCTAAGTCTATTAATATTTAATATATATATATATATATATATATGTATATTTTGAAAATGAAACTGAATTTTATTAGGCTCTATCGACCAAAATGAAACGACAAACAAACGGGGGATTTGTCAACTCCAACCCAGTCCGAACTTACAGAAAATACATAACTTGCCAAAGCATGCGCAACCATATTTCCACTCCTAGAAACATGGGTGCAACAACCACCATTGACATGGAAAAGCAAAAGCTTAACATTGTTAGCAACTGGGGCAGCTAAATCTACAGGAGAGCAAATAGCCCGGCACACATTAATAGCATACGCAAACAATTTTTAAACACTATAAAATGGTTCATACTATACGCAAACAATTTTAATAATATTTAATAATTACAAACATACGCAAACAATTTTTACATGCTACAAAATGATTTATTTGTTAACTATTATTCTTCTTAATGTTTAAGTTTTTGTTTTTGTTTGTTTTTATTTGTTTTTTTAAATCAATGCTCTAAGTTTTATTGACATATTTTGCTAGCAGAACTTTTTTATTCTTTGAAAAATTACACGAGGTTTAGATGACACTTTGATTATTAAAAAAAAGAAAAAAGTAACTGGCACGGAGAGCCCCTAAGCTCTTTAATAAGAGACAGTTTGGTGCCTATTCTTTTAATTTTGACAAAATGACCCTTAACGTCATTAAATTGATGCAATTAAGTTCCGTCTAGTTTTGTTAATTTTTTATAATTGATCATGTGAAAGACAAGTGATCTTATAAAAGAGAGTATTTTAGTAAAATAACAAGACAAAGGTATTTTTATTTTTATTTTTGAAAGGAAAAAAAAAAGCCTAAACTCATAAACTGAGAAGAAAAAAAAGGAGAGAATCCAAGGGTTGCCTTTAATTGGATTAGAGATGGGCCCCACGTACAAAATTAAACGTGTGTAAGGCATGTAATCTTATAAAATATGTATTTTTATTTATTTTTTTGGAAGGAAAGGACAACAAAAAGAAAAAAAGCCTAAACTCATAAACTGAAAAGAAAAAAAAAAGGAGAGAATCCAAGTTAATTGGATTAGAGATGGGTATACCAAGTTGGAAAAAATGAGTGCTGAAGCATAAAACTAAACCCCCACCTTCATCTTTGCCCCCCAAAAAATAGATCCCCACTGCTCTCTTAAACGCCAACAACGATCTCCGATTTGCCCCTTATCATCGACGACCTCTGATTCACGACGGAAAGCGTGATTTCTTCGCGACCCGTTGACCCGCGGAAGAGATCAGCATGATTTCATCAAGACCCATCGCACGACGAATTTCGTCGTAACGAAGATCACGATTCTCGTTGACTCGCGGAGGAGATTGGCGCGATTTCGTCAAGATCTGTCCCTATGCGGCGATTTGTCATGGCCGTTGCGATTTTGATGTGATTCGCTACTATAGACGTCGCAGAGGTCATCGCGATTCGCGATCCCCGACATCAGGATGGTGGCCATGACTTCCTCGTGACGTCTCGACTAAAATCACGACTTTCTGTGACAGAGGTCGCAACAACTAGGCTGCAAATTTGCGTCTAAATCCCGGCGAGATCTGTTACGATATTTTTTAGAACGCAAGTATAAGTAATATAGAGTTAATAGAGTATCGATCCTATGAGAAATTAAAATTAAATCCGTTAAGTACTAAAATTAAACAACTTAATCTTATTCAATAAACGAAATAATTTGCATAATTGTTAACTAAAGAAAATAAAATAATGAGCAAAAAGATTAATGATTCTATCAAGCAAGACAACTTAGAATTACAATATCTCTCAACACTTTTATTTGAGAAATCTCACCCCTTCCTCATTCTGATTAATTAAATCCAATTGCTAATCGAGAATCTTAATTTACTTAAGCGACTCTTTCGAAATCCCATAAACATACCTATTTCAATTAATTCACTATATTCCTATTAGAATTAAGTTAAAATAGATTCATTAAACACAAATCCCAAATTGATTGCATATGGCAAGTATATTTCTATCTCACACACAAATCTAATCAATTTTGATAAATTGATAAAAGATCATATGCTATTCTATCTAGAGCTAAACGCAAAATCAACTTTTCCAAGCAAATTAAGGTTTTCCAGAATCAATCTAAGTCCATCGGCCAAGTAATTAGAAGCAATAAAGATAAGATAGAATAAACAACTGAATTTCATTAATAAAAAATAAGAAAAAATGTGAAAACAACTAAAACTATATGTTGAGTTCCATTGCAATTCAAGACAAAAGGAATTAGCCCATAACCAAATTAATAAGAATCATCGGAAAAATAGAAGGATTCATGTGAAAAAGTTTTAAGAAGATGAAAGAAGAAATTGATTCTAGAACTACTGATGATGCACTCCAATTCTTCAATGCCCCGTTACAATCTGTGTAAAATCTCCTTTTTCTTCTTGGTCTGCGAGCACTTCTTCCAGTTTTTCTGCCCTCTTACGTAATCCCCTTTCTTTCACTTTTTTTGCCCCTTTTCTACCAAGCCCCTTGTTACTCGCGTAAACCCGTGGGATAGAGCTTGGGAAGCCATAAATCTCGCTCCTTCATGATTTTGTGTTAATCTCTTTTCTGTCTTTTGAAATTCAAAACCACCTCTTCTATCCTACACAACCGAGATAAGGTAAAAATAAAGTAAAATGACACTATCACCGAGTTAAATTAACTTGATTAAAAATAGTATAAAATAAATAAATATTCTTAAGAACATAGCTAATTTAAGTGCACACAAAATGGTAAAATAATTCTATTTTATAGAGTTATCAAGATCCAATCGGTTTTCTTTTTTCTTTTTTGTAGTTTTTAGTTTTTAATTTTTAGTGAGTTAATTTATGAAGGGGATATTTTTGTAACTATACTATAAAAGTGACATGTCTAAAGATCGCTTATATAAAACCGTTTAAAATTTGACGGAATTGGACATAAAAGACTTAATTGTACTAATTTAATGACGTTGAGGATTATTTTGTCAAAATCAAAAGAATATGGATCATCCTTGTCAATTGTCCTAAAAAAAAGTTGCGGGATTAGTGATAGTAGATACACATTAGATCAAAGTGCACTGTTTATCTCCAAGCCAACTAAAACATTTTATTGGGAAATGAAAGCATTTTCTTTTTTTTAAGGGAACGAAAGCATTTATTAATGTACTAATTTTCAATTATATAAGTACTCTCATATTAAATTACTATAATATTTGCAAGTCTTACAAATATATATATATATATATTTATAAAACCTGAAAGAATAAAATGAAATTTAAAAAAAAAATTCAGTTTTTGAAGGTTACAATATTGTAAATATAAATATTTTTAACGCTCTTTGTTTTTCTTTTTTTTTTTTTTTTTTTTTTTTTTTCAATTATGCTAAAGAAATTCACTAGGCTTGACTTTAGAACATATAAAACGAAATTTCCTACCTTTAGATGTATATAACACATCGGGAATCTGGAATTAATACAAATGTAGTGAAGAAGACTGATTTCAAAAGTTGGGAGAGACCTAGTGAGTATATATATATATATATATATATATATGATATTGGCTCAACAAAAGAATATAATCACATGTTTACTTATCGAAATGGGTAATCGAAATTGGGAATCGAAATTAATTCTATGTTTACATACCCATTTTTATCTTAAAATAAGAATGAAAATATGCGAGTCTCACAAAAATTTAGGGTTAAAAAATGAAATTGACACTCTCCCACTCCCACCGAATTGACACTCATAATCCTGATTGTAAATGTAAAATGATCCCTTGCACAATTCAGGTCCTTAGGCAAGTGCCTAAATTGCCTTGCCCTTCGGTCGGCACCGTAATCATAATTTTTTTAAGCAATTCATTATAGATTTGCAATTAAGAGTATGTATTCCACACATTATTTGGATTTGAGAAATGAATGTATGGAGAAAAGCAATTATAAATTTAAAGACCATTTTTATCGAACCTTAAGTTACACATATAAAGAGGTCTATAAAAGAAGATGTAATTAAAAAATAACAGTTCAAATATAAAGCGATCAGTAACCAATAAAATAAAGTTGGAAACATTGTTTAAGATGAGATTATAATCAGGACTACCTTACTTTGTCTAGATATTGATATATACCAAGTTCATATATATATTAGACTGGATTTACATTTTTTTTTATCATATATGAGGCGATCTTAATCTCAAATGACTTCTTAAAAAGAAACTACATATAAAATTAGTACAACACACTTTAAAAATTTAACTTAACTTAAAAGATTAATTTATTAGATTTTAAGTATTTTTATGTATTTAAATTACTTTAAAATATATTTAGCTCGTTAATTTAAATTTTTAATTTAAATTAAAATATAATTTTATGTAAAACTTTTTTATTATAATAAAAAAATTAAATATAATTATTTTTATAAACTTTTCGCTCTAACAAAACTTAAAAACCAACAAAATCTTACATTCTCATTCACTTTTCATCTCATCGAACCCGCTAACGCCTCTGCCATTTTACTAGTAAGCTTTGAGCCTTTCCCTCACTGTTTTGAACTTTCAACTTTGAACTCCTTACTCCTAAGAGTTGCATGTTAGGGTTTTGTTTGGTTACTGAGAAAATTCAGGAAAAAGACAGTAAGAAGTCTCAACTTCTTCAAGAGAACTACGAATTTGCTTACAAGTAGCAGTTAGTTTTTGCTCTGTGGTTGCTTTGCTTGTAGTTGTGGCAGAACAACTTAGAGTTGATTCCTGAGGTCGCCGCAATCGCAGAGAAGAATGAGTATTGTGCCTAAAGAGAGCATCGAGGTCATTGCACAGAGCATTGGCATCAACAATTTATCCTCCGATGTCGCGCTTTCTCTCGCTCCTGATGTCGAATATCGTCTGCGTGAGATTATGCAGGTATTTTTCTTTTTTTTTTTTTCCCAATTCTCATCCCTTTTTCTTTTTCTTTTTCTTGTTTCAGTTTTGTACCTTAGTTTCTGATTGTTTGAGAAATTTGATGATCAAGTCTATTAATATGCGCTGGAAATTGGGCATTTCTCGAGATTTTAGGAACCTGATAGAAGGGAATTACATGAGGCTTATGAAATTTGATAAAATTTTGTTTGGTAAGCGGGAAAGAAAATAGGAAGGAAAGAAATGCATATAACTAGGTGAGGAATATGGAGAGCAAATAGAAGTTGTTTATCTTCCGCGTTGGTATAGATTCCCTACGGAGAGCAATTAAAATTGGGATTATTTGAAAGATTTGAACTCCCTAAGCCTTTTCTAGGACTTTTCGCGAGAAACTTTCCGTTAAGTGTGAGGGAGACTGTTTGGGGTTGCTGTAGATTTCTTTATGGTGTTTTCTCTCCTACCAAACAATTAATTCCAATATTTTTGAAAGTAAATGGTGTTTAGCAAAGATTAAACTAAGGAATTATTTACAAATTTTTTACCATTCTTTAGCAGTGATTATTCTCAAAGCTACAACTATGCCAAACTGTCCCATAATCTTCTTCTCATGTAACTCCAGGAAGCTGTTAAATGCATGCGCCATTCGAGGAGAACTCGAATGACAGTAGATGATGTTGATGCTGCACTTGATTTAAGAAATGTTGAGGTGAGCCTTCAAATATTTAAAAACATTTGTGGTTTCGTTATCGAGCTGTTGTCCATTTTCCTTTTTGTTTTAATATAATAGTGTGAAGAGTATCCCATTAGAGTAATTTAGTTTTCAGAAGAATAACGTGAAACTAGAGAAGTTACAATAGTGTGAAATATTACCCTATTATAATAGTTCTCTAGTTTCAATTTTCATGGAATTATGGAAGTTTCCAATTTTGCTTGTTAGGTTTAATCTTATCTTTTTGTGATCTTTGTGAACCAGCCTGTTTATGGATTTGCCTCCGGTGGTCGACTGCGATTCAAAAGAGCTGTTGGACATAGGGATTTGTTTTACATTGATGACAAGGATGTGGATTTTAAAGATGTAAGGATTTGTTAGAGTATTTCATTTACCTTGTTTTTTGTCCTGTGCACGCTCTTTGCTGATGTTCCATTCCATATGGCTGAGTGTAGGTGATTGAGGCTCCTTTACCAAAAGTGCCTCTTGATACTGCGGTTTTTGTTCACTGGCTAGCTATTGAAGGCGTACAACCTGCTATTCCAGAGAATGCTCCGGTAGAAGGTATGTCTTCTTCTTCTTTCTTTCTTTCTCTTCTTTTTTTTTTTTTTTTTTTTTTTTTTTTTTTTAAATTGACGAGTAGAAGGGGAAATCCAATTTTTTTGACTTTGCTTGAGTAGCTAGGGTTTGAACCAAAGCCGCTGGCGCATGTTGTGGTGGAACCCTCAAAAAACAATTTATGTCCTTACAACTTTACATGGAAATTCATTTTTGGATATATCCTAAACAATTAGGAACATGACTAGTGTTTTCTCTCACAAAAATTTAAATAAATTTGACTTTATGTTCAAGCCTATGAACCAAACGGGCTATAAGCCTCTAGCGGATGTTGTGTTGGAAACTTTACAAAAACGTTTTATCTCTTAACAACTTTACTAGGAATTCTTTTTTGAATATGTCCTAAACATAGGAACATGATATCGAATATAGTTCTTAGGTTTTTTGTTAGCCAAGTTGCTGTCTAATTCTTGTACCTGTTGGGTTTTCCTTTTCAAATAGTGATTGCAGCTCCTTTTGATAGCAAAAAGGATGAACAGAAGGACGATGTTCCTGTTGACATTAAATTACCAGTTAAGCATGTGTTGTCTAGGGAGCTTCAGGTACATTGCATTCCATGATTGCCATATGCTTTTACTTGTTTTTATGTTGCAATTCTAACTCTTTTTTTTTTTTTTTTTTTTTTTTTTTTGCAGCTATATTTTGACAGAATCACAGAACTTGTTGTGAGCAAGTCTGATTCAGTTTTGTTTAAAGAAGCATTAGTGAGTTTGTCCACAGACTCTGGACTTCATCCATTAGTTCCTTACTTCTCATGCTTTATAGCTGATGAGGTAATAAGTTTTTACCATAGAACATAAGATCAACATAAACAAATTATAGTGTGATATGTAGCTAACGGCTTCTTATTTCTATTGTTGATCATTATTATTCAGGTTGCTCGTGGCTTGAATGATTTTCATCTTCTATTTGCTTTGATGCGGGTTGTTTGGAGTCTTTTACAAAATCCCAATATACACATAGAACCTTATGTAAGTTAATTTCCCTTATTATTTCTACTAGTGTTTTGCTACATCTGCGTTGTTACTTATTATTTGCTACTGTATTTAAACTATTAGTGTTTTGCTACATCTGCGTTGTTACTTAGTATGGCGTTGTTACTTAGTATGTGCTACTGTATTTAAACTCGAATATATTAAGGCACTACTATTATTAGTGTTTTGCTACATCTGTGTTGTTACTTAGTATTTGCTACTGTATTTAAACTCAAATATATTAAGGCTTATGTGGTTTGAGAGTCTATCAGCAATGTTTACATAATACTTGTCTATGGGGGCGGGGATGTAACATCTTCAAGTTGCTGATATTCTGTAGAGATCACTCGCAAACAGTCTGATTAATTATTCTGATGGAATGTTTGATTAGGATTCTTTGATATTGCTAAAGAAGTGCAACAGGAGTAATAATGTTTTTCATTGTTTGCTCAAGCATCCTTTGTGGTTCTGACGAGAGTAGCATGTATGAGTATTTAAGTAGGTTCCACGTCTTAGAATCTGAGAAGATTTTTCCTTCATTCCAGCTACATCAATTGATGCCATCTGTGGTGACTTGCCTTGTTGCGAAAAGATTAGGAAATAGGTTTTCCGACAACCATTGGCAACTCAGAGACTTCACGGCAAACCTGGTTGCTTCAATATGCAAAAGGTAAGCTTTTAGCATAAGTTTCATGTGAAGCAAGGTTCTAGGAAACTGAGTATGATATTCATGCTTATATTCTTTTTGACATGCTTCCATTTCTTTGCACTTGAGCCCTCCTCTCTTGTTGATGGTATAATAACCTGCAATATGAGTTATGTTCCAGATACATTATGTAAATGTTTTTGAATTTGCATGTTTATTTGAAACATATAGCATTATGTAGGGCCCGTTTAGTTCGTTGATTCGAGTTTTTAATTCGAGTTGAGATGTGACTTTATGTGATAGCTTTTTACTGTAGCAAAAAAGTTAGATGTGACTGTTTCTGAGAACTTTTTACTGTAGCAAAACTTGAATTCTAAACTCGAATTGGTAAAATGAACGGGGCCGTAGATTGCTGCACTCCCTGAATTTGGTCACAAAGTGAGCTAAACAAATTGCCAAGTCTTTTTTTTTTTTTTTTTTCCCTTTTTTCCCAACCCCTCATTGAATTATAGGCTTCACCTCTGCGTCATTTCTGAACCAAGATCAGAGTGTTACACTTTACATATCTGGTGTCGTGTAAGAAACCACTGAACACTTTGAGAATATATTCTGCTAACTTTGGGGCAAACTTTAGATCTTTTTGCTGCTTGTAAATATTCTTTGAGAGATTGGTTGCTGGCTTGCTGCCATTTTAAATGACATAAACCGACATCACTGACATAACGGTATTATCAAGGCGTTTTTCTTTCCAACGGGCTAATGGAAACTCTTCTGCTTTAAAAGAATGACACAACATAGCTATGGGTATGGATGTTGTTGTACATGCATCGCAGATTAATTTTCAAAATGTTTTGCAGATTTGGGCATGTTTATAACACTCTACAGACGCGTCTCACAAAGACTTTGGTGAATGCATTTTTGGACCCAAAACGTGCTCTGACTCAACATTATGGTGCAATTCAAGGGTTAACAGCCCTGGGACCCAATGTGGTATTCTATCACGCTCTTTGAAACTTAGAAAAGTTGAGATCTTATTTAATTCTGTTTGGTCAATTTCGCCCCTTATGCTTCAAATATTGTTGATGAATTTCCTGTGAAAGCCCAATAACGAATATGGTTATTGATAAATCTTTAGTTGTTTTGCAGAAGATATAATTAAGATTAAGAAATTAATTCCAGAGTTTGACACATTTTTTTTTCAAATCATTCAACTATTTGAATATTATGTTCCATATATATATATATATATATATATATATAACTTGAAAAGGAAACGCCCTCGCTTTCGTCTCTTAGTTGTGATTGCAAAGAATTAGAAGATGGGACTCTGGATTTTGTAGATCAAGCTAGTTGCCTTTAGAATTATCTTCTCCTGTTTTTGTTTGATTTATTCCGCAGTGCATTACCTCCACATTCTTTCATCCTCATTTTCTTAAGCTTGATTCATTGTTATTATAGTGATAATTGTTGCAATTTTCTCGTTTCAAAATTAATGACTTGGCTCATCTTCCTAAGATAATTTTCTGAAATTTCTTCCAAATTTTAAATTCCGTTAACCAAACCTGTTTTCTAGACTGGTGCTTTGGTCAAATCTATATTTTCGTCCAAATATATGTCATATTTGTTCTTGCCTTGAGAGATTTTGAACTGTGTGATATTTTTCTGTACAAGTAGGTTCGACTTCTTATACTGCCAAATCTCAAGCCATATTTGCAACTACTTGAACCAGAGCTGCTTCTGTCAAGGCAAAAGAATGAGATGAAGAGATACGAAGCTTGGCGTGTTTATGGAGCCTTGCTGGTGAGTCTCCTATAGCTGTAGTTTAGTATTCTAGAGGAAAAATCCTAAGAGAGGCATACAAATGACATCATGTATCTTTCTAGCGCGCAGCAGGTAATTGCATTTATGATCGGCTGAAGATCTTCCCGCCTTTGCAATCTCCTGTTCCACATCCTATCTGGAAAGCAAATGCAGGAGTTGCTACTATAACGCCAAGTAAGGTTCCTTTTAACTTAATGTTTTAGGAAGGAGATACCTGTTCAACATTTAGCTTCGTGGTTTTTACTATGCCTAAAAAAAAAAAAAAAACACTTCCGACTGGTTATGTTGCTAACCTATTTTAGGAGTTATATGGAGCAAAAATAATTTGTGGGTTAAGTGGAAGAATGCTACGGGAGTTTTATGTACGGGAGTTTTATGTGATGGCAAGATGCCTATTAAGTTAAAAGGAAAGTTCTGTAGGACTGTAATCTGTCCAGCTATGTTGTATGGTAGTGAATGTTGGGCCATTAAGAGATAACATATATCTAAGATGAGTGTGGCAGAAATGCGTATGTTAAGATGGATGAGTGGCCATACGAGAATGGATCGCATAAGGAATGAAATTATTCGTAGTAAAGTAGGTGTAGCACTAATAGAAGATAAGGTGCGCGAAGGCTGTTTGAGGTGGTTCGGGCATGCCCAATGTAGACCGCTAGAAGCACCAGTTCGTGCTTGGGAGGACATTCTTATACCTAATACTAGGAGAGGGAGGGGTAGACTAAGAATTACGTGGACCGAAGTCGTTAGGAAAGACATTCTAGATCTAGGCCTTCAGAAAAGTTTAATTTCGAATAGAGCCGTGTGGAAAAGTGAAATCCATATAGCCGACCCCATTTAAATTGGGATTAAGGCTTGTTGTTGTATGGAGTAAAAATAATTTATCATTCACACGAAACTCAAGTCTCAAGATCTAGATTACTTGACTGATTATGGTCTTCTGGGAACAAGAGGAATACAGAATTTCTGTTTAGGTTTATGAACGAAAGTTTTCTGTTTAGTGTTATGAGCATAGGCCCTAGCATGCATATAGCTGGGTTCTTTTCAATCACCTGTTCAGTTCATGCTTCTCAGTCTCAGGGCGTAACACTATAATACCATACGTGTTGTACTGTTCTTGTAAACTACACGGGTGTCACTGAAATCGTTTTTCCTTTAAATCATGCAGATAAACGCAAGGCAATCATGGACGACACGGAGCAGCAGCCCCCACTCAAGAGAATGGAAATTGATGGCCCAACTTCTGTGCCATCATCAAATTCATCCCCATCTCACTTACCGGGAGAAACATCTGCTATATCTAATTCAGGAGATACCAATGCAGGTCCGTCATCACCATCATCTTCACAGATGCCTGCTGAGATTGTTTCTGATACAAAGAGTAAGGGCAATTGTAAATATCTAAAAACGTCAGCCATCCTCACACAAGTCTGGAAGGACGACTTGAATTCAGGGCATCTTCTGGTATCGTTGTTTGAGCTCTTTGGGGAAAGCATTCTTTCCTTCATTCCAGCCCCTGAGATGTCTTTATTTATTTGACCGTCTGTATTATGTTGTTTGTAACTATAGCCTTATTATACAAATGTCTGTTTGTAAATAGAATGATATAGATGCCAAGACTAGTTCTTTTATTCAACTGACAAAAACCAATGGTTACTGCAGATATTTTGCCTCATTGATTTCACACACAACACTATCATCTTTAAGTCATAGTAATACAATCAAAATAAGATGACTAAAAAACAAGATAAATTCACTCAATTGGGATTGTTGAATCAGGCTGATCTCAATGTGCTTAAGCAGCAATTTTGTTCGACTCGCGTTCAACAGCTTTCTTCAGGAGGCTGTCCTCTTCCAACACCATCTGCAAAGGCAAGAAACCCATCCCATTAGCCATGGCAAGCATCATCCTCTTGGTCTCGGCCTTAAACTCTTCAAGATCAACCGCACCATTAGAGTCGTGATCGAACAGTTTGAACAGCGAGTTGTAAACCTGAGCAATCTCAGCAGGCTCCGGCTTGACATCAATGCCAAAATGCGTCTCGAACACTCTCAAAGACTTGAGCTCCTTCAGCATCTCAGCGTAGGAAAGAAGGCCATCATGGTTGGTATCAAGGTGAGCAAAATGGTCACATATTGAACCGTGGAATGCTTCTTCATCCTCCACAAAGTTGACGATGGTGGTAGCGTCTAAAAGTTCTACGCTCATTTTTCGCTTGGATGATTCAACGGAAACAAACACCTTTTCAACTAAAACTGAAGCTGGAGTTTGTAACTTTGTATTGTTTTTTCTTTTGAAAGGAACTTTGTATTGTTTTGAATTTAGGATGAACAAGAAGTTGGTTTTCCTCCTTTATATAGCCGCGCTTAGAGGCACTATTTTTAAGCACTTTGAATCAAACTTTTTGCATCTGTTAAATTTACGGCCTTTACTTTTTGGTATAGCCAGTTGTTTTAATTTGCGTTTGTATAGTGATTCCAATGGAGACCACATTTTACGGTCGTTTACACTGAGCTCCATCAGTGGAAGGGCCTTCTTTGTGAGAAGTCAGTGGGCAAATGTTGGGTGGTTTGCCTTTTCGGTGAACATATTCGATGGGCTTAAACGCGTGTCGGAGGAGCCAAGAACGGACCTAAAACTAGAAGATTAGAAAGTCAAAATAATTCTGGTCGGTTCACCGACCTTACGTTTATTTTTCACGCGAAGTATATTCCAGTCATATGCTTTATTTCAAAAATAAAATAAGCCAATTATATTCCTTCATAAGTAAAATAAGGTAACAGTGCTGTAAGAAGATCTCCAATACAATGTTATAATTGATGTAGAGTTATAAATTTAACATTTGAGTGTAAAAATACACCTCCTAATATAGTGCTATTTGTTTTGCTAAATTTATCATATGCTATCTGACTGTGCATTGTAGAAAGAATTTGAAAGGAGTGCAAGAAGAAAAAGAAGAATTAGACATTATCGTGTTTAGAATTGATCCTATTTTTTTTCACATTTTTTGAGAAAGAAAAAATAAAAACGTTTCTAAAACGGCGTTTGACGCAATAAAGACAAAAAACGGAAATGAAAACGATTTTTTGGTTTAGTGTAAAATGAGAGAAAAATGAAAAATGACGTTTAGTCGTTTTTCATTTTTTGTTTTTGTTTTCTCCTCTCTCGAGGAGAGAGAGAGAGAGAGAGAGAGAGAGAGAGAGAGACATTAATGGGGTTTTTTATACTGAAAATAATATCCTGATAAAACTACTAAACACATTTTTAAAAATAATTTATGTCTAAGATTGAAAACGTGTTTATTTTCATTTTCATACAAAATATAAAATTATTTTAGAATGAATTTCAAACGCGCAATAATTTCTTCAATTCCAATATCAGGATTGAGTTTGTGCAGCCTAAAGGTCAACAAAAGGTGAGAAAATCTTACCACTAAATAAGTTGTAATGTAAATTCTAAGTCACGTGAAGTTTGTGCCATGACACCTAAATTTCTCTTGTATGTGTATAGGAGTGGCTTCTAGTTAGGTCATGCCTGCTCTATTTTCAATATAAATAATAATGTTAATGCTATATTAAAAAAAAAAGAGTGTAAATTAATGTGTTATTTTATTTTGTACTCTTAACGTATAATACTATTTCAAATACTATGTGTATTTTTTGTCCTAATTTTTAAGCTTCGAAACTTGTAAAAGTAAGTTTTTAATATTAAATAATTTAGAAATAACAATGATGTAAGTACTACATAAACATGTCAACATATCAACTAATAACCAAATATGAAAATATCAATATTTGTGTAAATCTCGGTACTTCAATTTTTTATGGAAGTATCGACGAAAATATTGATATAGGTAAAAATTGGCCTAAAATATAGAAATTTATCTTAACACAATGAATTTATAAATGAAGCTTTTAGAAGTGCTAAAAAGTTAATAGTAAATATAATAGATGAAATTATCAATCAAAAGAAAATTGTAAATATGCCATGGTGAAAAGTGATTTACAATCTTATGGACATTTTCAGACATTCAACAAAAGATACTACACCCCTAGCGTTATCATAGATATTTTGAAGAAAATATAGGTGGAAATGTCGATACATTCCTAGCGTTAATATAGATATTTTAAAGAAAATATAGGTAGAAATATCGATATACCCCTAGCGTGGAAATGTAGATTTTTAAAACCTTGAGTTTTAATGCAAAAAATTAAACTTCTTCCATACCTTTCCGTTCTATTACACCCCTCTAACGATGTAGTTCTAATGGTTATAGTCTACACTAATGGTTCGTAATGGCTAAGCAAGCTTGGGCACTTTGCCTTGCTAAACTAAACAATCTACTTCATTAAAGAAAGATTTATATTGATCATTGAAGATTGGAGTAGTTAATTTCAAGTTATGACAATGATTTATTTACGGTATATTGGGCGATATAGTAGATTGATCCAGTTTGTCATGCAGCAAATTCTCAATGTTTGGTAATAATTAATCTAGATTACTTTGGGCGATATAGTAATTACATATATTGTCCATTATGAGAGGCCCTAGCCTAAAAAGGTCTAATATTTTACAATACTATAAAAACGTCTACTCGTGATTATTAAGGTAATTTTTATTCCGAATTTACCCTCAGTTTATTTTGGGCATGCTTCTTATAGGGACCTTTTTTAGTTTTTTTGTAATAATGTTAAGAGTTTTTCCGGATTTGACTTTTGATTGCATAAAGTTTAACTCTTCATTGGCCCTTAATTTCTCGTGATCGTTTTTCTTTTTTCCCTATTAATTCATTTTGCATCAATATGGGTTTATTATTTTGGTACTGTTGTTTTGGGTGATAATTTTTAAAAAAATTTTTAATTTGGAATAATTTTTTGGTTTTTCACCGTGTCACCATGTTTTTGTTATTGTTATGTTTTGGCGTTTTGCATTATTTCTGTCTGATTCATTATGTTAATGAGCACTTATTCCACATTAATTTTTTTTTTTCCAGTATTTACTCTTCATTATCCCTTCTTATAATGACGTTTTGATTTTTCGAGTTTTGTTAGGATATATATATATTTATATTTTTTTGTTTGGTTTGATGTTTTTATTTATCCTAATCTTAATGAGATATGTCAAACTAGCGAACTTGTAATCCCCATTTTTTTTTATAGCTTTTTTCAATGTTAAATTTATCATTACGATAATGAATTTTTCTTTCATTCTCAACTTCTTTTATGTATATTAATTATAATATTCATTTCTATAATTTTTTTTTTGGTTTGGTGTGATCTATTTATTTATCCTAGTCTTAATGAGATTGTCAAACTAGCGAACTTGTAATTCTAATGTTCTTTGATTTTGTCAATGTTAAATTTATCATTGTGATAATGAATTATTCTTTCATTCTAGACCTCATTCTATATCGTCATTGTGATATTCAGCAAACTCGACAACTCGTAATCCTGATAATTTTTAGCTTTTGTCATTACGATAATGATTTTTTCTTTCATTCTTAACTTCTTTCTGTATATTAATTATGATATTCATTCCTGTAATTTTTTTGGTTTGCTATGATGTATTTATTTATCCCAATCTTAATGAGATTGCCAAACTAGCGAACTTGTAAATTTAATGTTCTTTGCTTTTGTCGATGTTAAATTTATCATTATAATAGTGAATTATTCTTTCATTCTCGACTTTATTCTGTATATTTATCATGATATTTATTCTTGTAAATAATGTTGGTTGGCAGTGTGTTTGTTTTTGGTGAAATGGAGGCAAACAAAGCAAAATGCATAACTGTTTCAGTTGGTATAACGCTCGAGCCTACACCCTGGTAGTTTTTATCAGCAACTTAGGGCTTGTTCTTTTATAGTTTTTGAGTTAGAATAATTTGAGTGTAGATCTTGAGTTGAATTTGAATTATAACTTGAGTTTAAGTTATAACTTGAGTTTGTGTTTGACTGTGTACATTTGAGTTATGATTTGAGATGAGAATCTTTTTGAGTTTGTGTTTGTTTCTACTAAGACTTGAGTTGTGAATAACATAGAAAATGTTTTACTTAATTAATTTTATGCAATTGAATATGAATAATTAGAATTAAATATATATAATTATGAAGAATAGGTAAACTGGCAATTAAAAAATATATAAATAAAAGTGAATCATCAATAAGTAACAAGTTTCAAAATGCCAAACATAAAAATATATCATTTATAATGGAAAGTAAAAGGACAACAATAAATACATAATTTATAACATATGTCTACATACACCATGTAAAATCATCTCCTAGCACGTCGATATCTTATGAAGGAAATTTTAACGTGTACGACGGTTAAGGTACACTGCCCACATTGTATGTACCCTTACATCTCTTAAGACATTAATCTCCACTTCTACATCATAATTTAATAGTTGTCCCTGATGGTTGTTATTATCGTTGATGTCCTCTTCAACATTTTGGGGATCAATGTCAGCAACCGGAACGACATCTTGTGAGTACTAACCCAATAAGGTGTCTCCATTACGGAACATGTGGATAAAATTATGGACCACGGCACGTGCAACTGAAATCTTAACTTGCTTTTGCATGGGGTATCGGTTAATGCTTTTCAAAATACGAAACCTGGCATTCCATACACCAAATGTTCTTTCAATGACATTACACAGTGAGGAGTGTGTGTAGTTGAACAGTTCACTTTCACTTCAGAAGCCTACCACGTCGATTCCTATATTCTTGCAGATGGTACGTTATCCTCTAGTATGGTGCCATGAAGCATCTGTTGTTAGCATAACCCGAGTCGACGAGGTAAAACTTTCCTACATGTATAGTAATCAAAATTAATAAATAATCATATAACATTATTATATGGGATGTTAGCTTAATTAGAAATAGACGGTTGTTCCCTAATCTGATAGCGGCTTCAGAAATCGTTTCCTCGGGTGTTCTAAGGCGGATGCAAGTACTTTCGTGCGTCGAACCCTCCCAGCCAGATAGCATGTATGTAAATTTCATATTAAATGAGCACACTGCGAGCACATTTTGCGAAAAGAGCCCCTTTCCATTTCTGTAAAGTTCGGCCGTTTTACGGGAAGGCACACATGGGACATGCATCCCGTCTAGTGCTCCTACACAATCCTTCATAATTTCAAAATTATGTATGTTGGTGTATGATGTTTTATGATAATCCCTACATAAATTTACTTAGAGCAACTAACTTATGTCGAACCACAACGAGTACTTGTTTCCACTAGCAATTATGTGAAGGTGGATCGTATCATAATCGGGATGTCTTATGAAGTCTGTCTTCAAATGGCAAACCGCTTCAATAACTTTTGTGAAATAATCCGATACTGTGGAGCCCGAGTGCAACCAAAGGTCTTGCGCCTCCCTTTTTGTTTGGTTCTGACACAATATAGTTAGGAATATGAATAGTTGCTAGTTAACACTTAAGTGGACAGTCGGTTGCAATAATCTCATTTCCTCAAGGATAGAACAAAGAGGCGCACAAATGCGTCACCACTCATTCGAATTTTATCATAAATCACATATGCAGAACCTCCGAGATAATAGTGCACCCTAATCCTACCTCCCCAGCCAGAAGTGTGCCTCCGGCATGATGGTTCTCTGTACACAAATCCAATACATAATAACGCCATAGCTATATACACTTGCCTGAAAAATTCGTCGTCATCAAAGACTGTTGGGGTCATTGGACTTGAATCGGAGTCTGTAGTGCTCGTTGGACTTGAAATATCGTCTGAATCCATGCCTGGCAAATAGATTAACTTATAACACTAAACAATAGTCAATGACGTGTCTGTGTGACCCATAATATAGTCACATATAAAAGAAATGAGACATTCACATATAACAATAGGAAAGATAGACAACAACACATTGAGGAAAAAAAAATGAATTGTCATTACACAACAACAATGCTTTCATAAATAACTATTTCAGAGGTCCTCAAAATTTACCAAAATTGGACCTGATAGCAGAAAATTGCCTAAAAACCACATAACAATAGCAATGTCTAAATCTTAGAAGACTAGTGCATGTTCTGAATTAAATAACGAACCAACTACAACAATATTGCAACAATGTCATAAACAAGGGTGAAAAGTTTGGATGTGAACTACCATCTCCCCCATGTTGCCCAGAAACGGGTGAAAAGTTTGAGGGATTGTATGGTTGAAAAGTAGAACTGGTCGGGTTAAAGTAAGGGTGAAAGGTATAAGGGGACTGGGGGTTTAGTGGCGTGTTAGACTGAAAATGACCAGGCGGGCATGCATTTGCGGTGGTGGTGGCGGCAGATAAAATTGTTGATTTGCATGTGAATCCATTGTCTGTTTAATCCACACCAACCTGTGGTGTTCTTTCATGCGCAAAAAAGGCCGCTGCAGTGTAACATGTGAGGTCAGAAAGTTGAACATGAAAAGATATTGATGCTGAGGTATTTCCAATTCTCTCAGTAAATCAATGCATTTGTCCTCATAGGTTTCTTGCTCAACTGAGTTGGGCATTGCGGAACTTTTACCTCGGCTGCGATTGTTTTGTTCAATAGACGAAACGAGGCGATCCACGACACGCTCCATGAAAGTTGGTGAGCGTGTATGACTGTTTCTGCTTGACCGTTTACTAATTAAACGTGATTGTGAGGCAAGATGTGATACTCGACCAGTCTGGTGTAAAGCTTGTCTCATCTCTGTGAATGAAGTATCACCAAACTCATTGAACTGGGACTGTCCACCGTCAATGTCAATGGGGCTGCCCGGAAGGTTCTCTGGTGGGTGCGGTGGACTTGCAGGGTTCTTCTTGCCCGTACTCATGTGCACCTGTAGCACGTGTATTTGCAAACGCATAGTAATACAAATCATAGTCCCCTAAAGGCTTCTTCCTTGCGTTTTCAACCTCAGGGTGGTTCTGCATATCAATTAACAAAGCTTAACAAAATTGAACATCAATGACTCTTTAAAGTTAGCAGGAATTCAAACAATGAACTTACACTGATAAATAGTGCCAATATTCCTCTGTGCATGTGGGTTTCTTCTCAATTGGATCCCAACCAAGTCCAGTTGCATTCCGAAGTAGGAACTCTGCGTCGAAAGTTCTTTTCAACCGACCTGCTTTTTGTTTAACTTTATCCCAACTAACTGGGACGCTAAAATGGCTACTTAGCACGGTCGCCCATTGCATGTATTTGTCTCGGTTTGGTGCGTTACCAGCCGAGCTTAACAAATTGAATTCACCAAGAAGCCTAAGCAACTGTTCCTCAGTTACTGGGCTCCAATTAACATCTTTATCTCTCCTTCTTGCCATCTAAGTATTGACAAATCCAATGTGGCAGCAATACGCATGTACATAGCAAATAAAAATCAAGTAATAAGCGCAGATTTTTGTAAGTAGGCTCATAAATGTGTTATGGCCCTCATCGTCCCCTTATGGAATGTCATCCCAGGCTATGACAACTAAGTTCACACACATGATGCAAAAATGACTAAAGTTCTGTTAATTTATGTATTAATTGGCAAATAGTCGGCGTGATCAGAGCAAGGAATGATAATGGCCTACATAAATTTGATTAGACAATAATGAATACATTACAACCACAAACATAATTATGCATCTTGTATCATGCTCCTACTTGGGTTACCGATAGAATTAATGATTTTGAAAAAGAAAAAAACAAAACAAAACAAGACAATATTTTGAACTTTCTATTCTGTGTCAATTTTAATTGTTAAGAATAAATATTGATATAGTTACCCAAACCAGCAAAGAGTAGATATAGCCAGTATATTCTGGTTTTAGAAAGAAAAGAATCAGTATTCCAAGCTTTTTTTTTCTTTTTATACTCATATACGTATTTTCTCGATAGCCAAACAGGCCAGGAAAAAAAATATTTAACTCTTTCAACATAACAATCCTTTAAAACAACTATCTTAGGAAAAGAAACAATCTTACAATCGCTGATCAGTATTTGAGGTACACTGGAAAACAGTTTATGCTCTGTTTGGTTGCTGAGAAAGTGAAAGAATTACATTAGTTCTTCGTCCTAATTTCCAACAATTAAAGCGGCGAGATACACATATTTCATCTAAACACAAACGGAAGATAAGCAATTCTGCCCAGATGAACAACACGACAGCCCAGATGAACCATTTTTCAACTGAAAACTATTTCCCCAATATTACATATCAATCCACCCAACTCGGCCTTTTCATGTGGGGTTTTTTTTTTTTTTTTGGTTAAAACTTTAATCTTGGCCAAAGAACATATAATCACGGCACAAAGCATAACCTCTACATCAGACTAATCTTTGAGCTTTCTTCATTCTTCCCCTGTGATTTTCAGTACATCATGAAACTAATATCCACAACTTTATTATATTTTTTCAGCCAGATAACACAATCCCAGCAAGCCACAATAACACAGCAAGTCACAATAACACAATCTCAGCAACTCACAAGCAAGTCACAATCTCAGCAATCCATATCACAGAAAAACAAGCCAACTTCACAGCTCTACAATCGCTAAGTTTATGGAAGTAAACTCAAACAATGACAGAACACGACGAGGGAATTAAACTAAGGATTCGAGTGCTTACTAAGTTTGAGCCTACAGAGGAGTAAGTTGGATCTGCTCCGAGATTCCCAAAACGCAAAGACGATTTACCCTGAGTGAGGTACCGGCGACTACAATGGAGGGGAAAGTAGCTTTGATGTCGCCACTTGAAAGCACTAGGTCGAGACCCTTTCCTTCTACATCGAGCTAGGATGGTTGCCCAAGGAGGTTGCCGAAGAGATCGATTTCTACCACCGAATTTCTCCGTCTTGAACGGAGACCAAGCGGACAGATGAGGGGTGAATTTTGGGGCTAGGGATTTTCTATCTCAGATTGAGGAAAAATGGATTTGCATTTGAGTTATGGGTATGGGACGGAATTGAAACTTGAAGGAGTGGAATTGAAGCTTGAAGGGGTCAAAAGGCAGCCAGAACTCACAGGAATCTCACGGGATAAAGCAGGCAACGGCACACTTACAGAGAACCACGTTAAATTGCAGAATGGCGTGTTAGAGCTAAAAGAGATGGACAAAGCAAGCAACAGTCAATAGGGCAGGAATCTTCACTGTAGAAATACAGAGAAGTTAACTTAAGTTGCAGTGGGAAGATGAACTCAAAACAAGGTAGGTAACTCGAATTAATTTTTGAGTTTTGACACGCTGAACGCGAACTTGGGCCAAGTTTGGCTCTCGAGTGGGCCTTTCTCGAGTAATCTGCAGCAACCGAACAGGGCCTTAGGTTTCCAGTATTCAACGAGTTAAGCATTATGATAAAGAATAAAAAATTAATGAAAATGAAAAATGAAGTTATAAAGACGTGGTGTATCAAATCATTCTTGTGTTTTGTTCTCTTTTCAGGTTCTCTTCGGGGTCATGACTATTCTGTTCTTGAAACCGTTTTAATCAGAATGAACAAATTTGATAAAATCGTTATGATAACGAAACCGTTTTAATCAGAATGAACAAATTTGATAAAATCGTTATGATAACGAAACCGTTTTAATCAGAATGAACAAATTTGATAAAATCGTTATGATAACGAATTTCAAAATATGAACCATTAATAGTCACTGAAGTTTGAAGACCATTTCTTATTCCATTTTTAAACGGATAACATATTCTGTCAATGTTTACTCCAGAGTGAACAAAATGATTAACAATATGTACATCAACCATACGGTTCTCACAATTTAAAAGAAAACTAATTTCAGTATAATCAAGGAAGTGGATTTAATACAGAAAAATATGAACCTATTTTCGGTTTCGAAGGATTTGAGAATGAAAACAAAATTGTAATCAGAGTTTTGATAATGAAAACGCCAATCAGAATTTGTCGAGATGAAGGAATTATTTAACACCCATTAAAAAGACCTTTTAATCAACTGATTAATCATTAATCAACATGCACATCAACCATACGAGTCTCACATTATTGTTGGAAAATAAAATTCAGTATTATCAAGAAATTGGTTTTGAAACAAAGACAAAAAGAAAAACAAAGCTGATCCTAGTTTTGTTTTCACCGAAATTGAGAATGAAACAATTACAAATAGAATTTAGATAATGAAAAGCCCATTAGATCAGGGTTTTCAGAATGAAGAAATTATTCAAGACCCATTAATCAGCTGATTTATCATAATGAAAAAAAGTCTGTACACTCACAACATCTCGTTCATTCTCAATTTCGTGTTGAATCGCTCTTGAGCTTGACGATTCTCCCTTTTTAGAGGTCCGTCTCTAACTTTTAGAGGACGACACAGGCTGCTTCTTCTTCGAGTCCGCCAATGTTGGAGCAGATGCTTTTTTCGGATTATTCGCTTACTTTCTCTTCCCATCATTAGGTTTCGAGGCCGACTCCTTCTTTCACATTGATTCTTCAGGTCGAGCGTCGGATGAGGTGCCGTTAACGGCCGCTGCAAATGGAGGTGGATTTTAGGATTTTGGAACGGCAAGCATATAATCGTATTGTGACTGGTTTGAAAAGGACAATGGTGGGATTTGGTCGTTTTGTGACCTTTTTGGGGTTTTTATTATTTAATGTCTTAAACACTTTCCATATACTGAATATGGAAGGTTTCATTAAACGTATTTCCCAGATTTCATTTTGATATTGTATATCCAAAGTTTTTTTTTTCCTTCTTTTTTTTTTTTTTTTTTTTTGTTTCAATACTTCTTACATTATTTCTTTATATAAAGATAATATTGGGTGCATTTAGAATTAAAAATATATTTACACGTCTTTTAAGATATAAAAATGAAAACAGTTTATAAATTGTGTTTATTTAATAAATATTTTAAAAAAAAAAACGGAGAAAAAAATAGTGAGAATGATTTTTTTGTAAAAGAATTATAAAACGGTTAAAAATTATTTTTCTTTTTTATTTTTATTTTTTAGTACTTATCAACAATGTTACAATATATTAATTAATAATTAAAACTAAATAAGATTTTATAAGAATTATAAAACGGTTAAAAATTATTTTTCTTTTTTATTTTTATTTTCTAGTACTTATCAACAATGTTACAATATATTAATTAATAATTAAAACTAAATAAGATTTTATTTTTTTATTATATTCAAAACAATCTCTTAAAAACTAATTAAACACAATTTTAGAATCGGTCCCAGAATAATCTACAAAATAATTTCATTTTTATTTTTATATTAAAAAAAAATTATTTTAAAAACATTACCAAATGGACCATTGTTTTTCTATACGTTCTAGTGGATAGTTCTGTAAATAAAAGGGATAGTAGACTATATATCTCTTGATGATTTGTGTCGAAAGACGTTGTAATAATCTGGTAGATTATTAATGTTAACCTGGTAGATTACTCTGTGATGAAAAATAAAAGTAACGGAAATAGTAGAAAATATGCCAATATGAAAAACTTAAGAAAATATATAGGCCAATTTTTAGTTATAGAAATTAATAGGCCATAACTTGTCAAGTTATGGTTCATAACCAGATAAGTTATGGACAAACTTATCAAGTTATGGTTCATAGCCAGACAAGGTATGGACAAATATCGTCAATTATGGACAATAACTTGTCAAGTTATAGTTCATAACCAGACAAGTTATGGACAAAAACAGTAATTTGACCTATTTATTAACTTATGTAAACTATTGGCCTATTAATTTTAATTTATCTCAAGTCTTTACCTATTTCTCTCTTTTTCCCTAAAAGTAATTACGTAAAATGTCTAATTTTGAAGTTGTTTTTGTAAAAATATCGACTATTATACAATATTATAAAAATGTCAATTTCAAATTTATAAGGCTTATTTTTTCTCCGATTTACCCTTATTGAATATTTTAGACATGTTATTTATATGATTAGTTTTTACTTTTTTATTTCGATTTTTTCATTATAATTTATATATTGATTTTCCTATTTTAACTGGATTTGATTTATTTGTATTCAATGATTTTGAATTTATTCTGATATGTTTTTTTCCACGGTTTATCTGATATGGAAGCTTTTAGACTTCATACGTTGTGTTGTGAAAACATTTTGATGGTGCCGGCATTGTGGATTCCTAGAATGCCCTGGTTGTTGATGTGCCTTGGGGTCTTGAATTGACCAATCGTACCTCAATTTCGAACAAAATAGTCCAAAATTTTCTTAAAAATTCCCCATTCCACATTCCTTAGCAAAAGAGACGGAATTGTAGGGTAATTAGCAATTAAAAGTAGTGGTGATCTTGTTCCTAGTAAGTACATTTTTTTCTTTGATATTACCTTTTTTTTTTTTAAAGTTTTTTATCCCTTTTTAATTTATTTGTTGCTGGTTCTTTTTTTCTTTGATATTACTTTTTTTTAAAGTTTTTTTATCCCTTTTTAATTTATTTGTTGCTTCTTCTTCTTCTTCTTCCTTTGATTTTTTAGGTTTGTTATTTTTTATCATTTAGGTTGTTGTTTTCTGTGTTATTTTTCATTATAGTTTTGTGTTTTTTTTTCATAACGATATCGTCATTAAGATAACGAGAATAGACAAAAATTACACATGCTAGTCTATAACTTATTTTATATCTTTACCATAATTTTCTTATTGATTAACATAACGAAAATTGTAAAAATTAACATACTCATGTTTTCATTCATTCTGATTGTTTTAGATTGTTTGCAAACTTATTCATTATTTTTTATAATGACATTGTCATTAACATAATAAAAATGTGAGAGGTTTTATTTGTTGTATCATATATTTTATTTCATAATGAACTGTTATATATTATTTTTAATAATGATTTCATCATTTAAATAATGAAATTATCTATTCTTTGAATCTTATATATTCTCACGTGTGAAGAGTGTCTCTAAGTTATTCGTGGTGAAAAATGGTGCAACGGCGGAGCAACGGCATGTTTTGCATGGCGAACAACAAGGTGGTGCTGCAGCGCTGGTTCTTAGCGCCGCAACGACCAACAGGTGCAGTTCACTGTGTGGATAGAGAGACCAGTGCTTTCGGCGCTGGTCTGGCAGCTCTATGGCAATGTAGGCTACATGGAGTAGCACTGTGGCGCTGATGCGAAATCAACAAAATCAGAAACTGCTAGTTTTGGCCGAAATTTCCACTTTCTAATTTGAAAAACATACCAATCGACTTAGGCACGACTTGAAGGCTACACAAAGGGCTTTGGGGGTTATTTAAGGGCTAAGAAACATAGAGAAACATATTAGAGAATCAACGTCTCAATTGGAATTGTGAGAGAATAGTTGTATTGAAGAGAGAACAAGTGAGAGAGTGAGAGAGAACTGAGAGGTACTTCTTGAAGAGTACTCTTGTATCATTCTTGTAATTACTTGTGATTGATCATAATAGACAAAACCACCGTATTGTAGGACGTAGAATCTCACATTGAGTTCCGAACCTGGGTAAATTCTGTGTGTCGTTATTCTTCTCCTTCTTTTTATGTATTTTCTGCATTTATTTTGACTTCAGATTATTTGTTTGATTGTTATTTCTCCACAAACCATTGATTCGTGTGCTTGAATCTGTGGGTCCTCATCACATCATGTTTCATATGTAATTTAATATCCGATGTTCATTTTCATAATGATGACTATTTTTCATTTGACAAAGTTTGTTTTCTATTTTGATGTTTCGAGCTTCCTGGTGATTTTGATAGTAGGGTGTGTGGGTTATACATCATTAAAGTAATAAAATGTTTTTTGATGAGTTCATTTTCTTGTTTCTTCTTTATTAGATATTTTGTTTCATTATGATCTGATCATAATTTTAGTGAAAATAGGTATTGATTTTATACATTATTCATTCTTTTTCATAATTTCAGTGTCTGATTTTGTCTGAGTCATCTCAAACTTTATATTCATTTGTTTTTATTTTTCTGGAATCATTACAATAATGAAACGATCTGTTATGTGTTTATAAATACATGTATGTTGATTGTTTAAGACTTGTTGCAATTTTTTTATTTTCAATGTATTTCAAAATAATATCACCATTAAACTAATGAAAATTGTATCATATGTTTTGTTTCATAATGATCTGATCGTTAAATAATGAAAATATTGTTTGATTTTAGGGTGGAGGGACTCAATTTGGATGAACTATCAAGGTTACAGACTTTAAGGCCGAGATTTTTAAGAATATTCGGTGGATTTTCTTTCTTTTTCCATAAAGAAACTTTCCATTTCTTAAAATAATTAGATTAGATTTTATTAAATGCACTAATTTAACTTTTGTATTTTAAACTTAGAATGTTTTATATTCAGATTTTGTTTCATTTTCTTTCTTATTTTGTTGTTTCATTAGTTTTTTTCTTTTTTATTATGTAAGGATATAAATGTCTTTATATGTATGATAGTATAGAGTTTTATAAATAAACAAGAAAGTATGCATTTTTTAAAATAAGGTACCCACAATCGGCATTTATGTAAATAAACCTGAAAAATATACCAATGGGTACATTTGTGGAAGTGTCTTTAGTGGTTTCGGGTCAGATCTCCAATTCTATTACAGTACATGATTCGTCACGGGATAGCCTCACGATACTTCAGTTATGAACATGATCTTCATACTCCAAGTCATGATCCTCCATAATCACGATCATCACCACATCCTTAATTGTTCACGGTGTGTGTGGTTATTACAAAGACAAGTGCTTGAACAACCACGATAAATTCACAACTCAATAACCTATGGAAGACTAGGAGAGAGAGAATTGACAAAGTTTCGAAGTATTTCTGTCACACTCTTCAGTTTGTGTCTTGTTATCTAACTATTTATAACCACACCTATCATAAAAGTAGTAAGCACAAAATATAGAACGTATCTCTCTTATTATTTGTCGGAGAAAAAATTACCCGATTACTCAATCTATTAAGATATTAGATAAATATCATAATATTTTCAAAAGGATACTTTCCCTTTTATGTCTCATAGATTTTATTCCAAATAAAAAATTTAGACATTAATTTTTGGGCTGTGCATCATTATGTGCGCTTTAAAGTCCAACACTCTCATAAGTGGTGGTCGGGATGGTCGGTGGTCAGCATTGTTGATTCTGGCGACTTCTGGTAGATTACATGTGATAATCTAGTGGATAACTTCAGTGGCTGACGATGGCCAGTGATCACTATTGATTTTGGTCATAACTTAGTAGATTACTAGCCGACGACCTACGTTGGTAATTTGACCAAATACATTTTGTTAACTTTTAACTGGTTCTTTAAAGTGACAAAAATAAATCTATGCCCTCTTATTGAAGTGTCGGAATTCTCAACATGTCTTATTCTCTAAGTACTTGGGGATTTGTCCAGAAACTTCCATTGCGAAGCCTCCAATAGCGACTGCATCCTATCGACAACAACAAACTGAAAGCCCTAAAACATTCTTGGAAAATAAAAAACACCGTGTTGGGTGGGTTTCAAAAGATGAAATGAGTTCCATGGGATTGAGAAAGAGACTCCAGATTTAGTTTCCACGATTTGTCATGAGGCCGGACCTCTCTCCAAAAGGACCAAGTGTCTCTTTGATGGAATGGAAATGGAATGTTTACGCTTAAGGATTATTATTATTATTATTATTTTTGCAAATTACAATATTGTTGTGTGAATAATTGAGTACAAGCCTGCAATCATTCAATGTTACTATTATTAAAGACCACTTTATGCACTTTGCGTGGGATGGAAATCTATATATATTGGTGAATCTATACGGACTCGTCACCATCTAAGTCAGAAAATTAACATTTCAACTTTAGTTGATAATATCTTTCAAAGTTCAAAATATGTAGCAGGTTTCAATATATAACAGCTACTTGTATCACGACATGTCTCTTTTACGTACTTTCTGCAAGATGCGTAATGTTCTAACGTACGCTCCAACTGCATGCTATTTCTTTAGTCAATGAAAATTAATGTTCGAGTAATTTGTTATTATTACTTTTTATTTAATATTTTTTTTTTCTAGGAGCATGACTTAAGCCCTATTTATTTCACCGATTCGAGTTTAAAATTCGAGTTTTGTTACAGTAAAAAGCTCTAAAAAATAGTTATATCTAACTTTTTTACTACAATAAAAAGCTCTCATATAAAATCACATCTCAATTTGAATTAAAAACTCAAATTAACGAACTAAACGGGCTCTTAGAGTACCCATCACATAAACTTCCAGGGGAAAAAAGAAAAATACAAAAAAAAAAGAGAGTTAGCAAAGAGACAATGTGCAGGTTTCCATGCAATTCCCATATGGATAAAGTTTGTCATTTTCATCAGCATATTGTTAAAGTTGAGTCCCTACAACGGTAACAATGCCACTTCAACGCTGTGCGTCACTCATGACGCTCTCGGCCGGTTCGTCTGATCTTTGTCTCTCAAAAAATGAACTACGTTCCTGCAACTAGTATTAAAGTCAGTGCTTCGGCTTACTTATTTATAAGTGTCTTTTGGAATGCCTGAAATACCAGAATCTTGTTGCTTATTTACAGTAAATTGTATAAAGAGATCATCGATTAATCTATCCAACCTTCGTCTATCAACAGTTTCATTTGCAGTGAGTTGTTTGATTACTATATATTGATTTTGTTTTTTTTTTTTTGGTTATATGATTCAAAAAGTACATGTTGAGTATCCAATACAGTACAGTTTCTGAAATACAGAATACACATAAATAAATAATAATTTTATAGTATGACAGTCTAATTTTGAATAACCTAAACCTAATGTTGGTTAATAATCTTTTCATACTCCACAGGCCAGTTAAGAATTGTATTCTATACAGAGTTAAAATTCAGTAAAATAAGTGAATAAAAATGTGTAATACTCAGCAATCAGTTAATGTGTCAGACGAGGTATGGCATCCACATGTATGAGTGGACGTCAGACATCCCTTAAGCAGCCGATCAAATACGCTTCATGGCTTTTGTCAACTCAACTATCTGATTTAAATGCTACATGTATCATTTTATGACTTTCAAGTCTATTTTTGGAATTTTTTTTTATATTAGATAATATCTTCACCTTCCCCATGTGGTTTGAATTCAATGATGAGTTGACCAAATAACCTTCAGCTCCACTCGAGGGTTAGGGCTTCAATTTGTCCGTTGAATACATGAACTCTATTATATCATTTTCTGATTAAATAATAATATATCATATTAATAGAATCGGCGTGTCAAATGAAAAGAGTAACAAAGAGAGTGCTGAAAAGGATGCTAGCATTTTCTCTTGCGTATTTCGTAAAACTAAAGGCATCCAAACAGCACCTTTGTACAATAACAATGCACTTTTATAATATTGTTTGGGAAAGCCACTAGATTTTTTCGTTTTAAGTACGGAAATTAAAATAGGATTTTTTTTTAGAAAGGTGTTGAAATTATCTTTCAAAGTTGTATTTGACTGTTTTTTAAGATAGATTAATTGTTCTGAGTATAGGAAAAATGAGATAATTGTGTTGGTTATACTTATGAAAATATATGTTGTTAATAATATAAGCATAAGAAAATGAAAACAAGAAAACTTTCAATAGTTTTCCAATTTCTTTAGTAAAATTAATTCCGTTTTAGATATTATTTTTGTTCTCAAAACAAGGCTGTAAGCAAACACTATTTTTTTTTTTTAGGTCGTTTTCAAAATAACTTTATCAAATAAGTAAAGACAATTTCAAAAATAAAAAATCAAAAGGGACAAAATTTACCGCCGCATTAACCCCCCTTAAAAACTAGTTAGATATTGTGGGGTACTCATATTGAATAGACTTGGCACAATGTGTGGGTTGATTACCACCGCATCATCATCCTCATCAACCCCATCTCAGCCTATAAATAATGGCTCAATTTCTTATCGTTTCTCCAATATCATCTGTTTGTTGAGGAAATAAGAGAGAATGGGCACGTTTAGAACTCGTTCTAAAATGATTTTATTTTTTGTATAAAAATGAAAATGAAAACGTTTTCAATCTCAGACAAAAATTATTTTTGAAAATGCGTTTGGTAGTTTTATCAAGAGATTGTTTTCAGTGTAAAAAAATAATTTGCGACGTTTGGTTGATGGATTTAGAATCATGATTCATAACTATTCTCGATTTACGTGTGTTTTTTGTGAGAGAAAACACTGTAGCGAGTCACGAACCATGATTCGAACCATTGCGCGAATCTTTGAACCAAACACATACTTAATGTCTCTCTTTCTCTCTCTCTCTGCTTGAGAGGAGAAAACGAAAACAAAAAATAAAAAACAACTAAAAGTCGTTTTTCATTTCTCTCTCATTTTACACTAAATTAAAAAATTATTTTCATTTCTGTTTTTTGTCTTTATTGCGCTAAACGCCATTTGAAAAACGTTTTTATTTTTTCTTTTTTGAAAAACGTGAAAAACAAAAACGGGATCAATTCTAAACATGGCCAATGATTTTTAAGGCTTTCCTTTACCTGGGTATTTTGCTTGCTGTTCTCCTTCTCATATCGTCGGAGGTGGCAGCTAGAGATCTTGCTGAGACTTCTACTGGTGACAACAAAAAAGGTTATCATTATTATATTTTGTTATGTTAATTAGACGTAACAAATTATTGTATACAGCCAGAAAATCTTGATACTGCTTGATCCTGACTTGTATAATTTACACAACTTTCCCTAATTAAATCCATTTCGTTTTTCCCTTTTATATGTCCATTTTAGAGTACGATATCTCTTTAGCCAAATTTTTAGTTGCACTCATGAATTCTTGCATTAATCTTTTAATATATACAGAAGCCTATATATGTATCCATTTAAAAAAGAGACTATGCATAACCTGATTGCATTGTGCAGTTTTTCTGATATCTTGTTTGTTGTTTCTGATATCTTGTTTTTTCTGGTGGCCACCCTTGTAGTGGATACCGCTTCCAATGGGGTAGACGACGAAAACTATGGAGGAAACTACGGAGGATATATATCCTGGTCAAGGCGGTCGTGATCATGGTCGCCGTGGTGATTATCCAGGTGGCGGTGGTGGTCGCGGTAGTGGTTATCCTCGCCGCAGGCGTTGCTACTACGGTAGTTGCAGGCGGAGTTACTATGGCAGAGAATGCCTAAAGTGTTGCTCTTACGCCGGTGAAGCTGTTGACTCAGAAACCCAAGACAAAGCTCACAACTGATCAGGAGCGCGGTACTGCCGTGTTTGGAATTGATTCCGTTTTTATTTTTTATGTTTTTTAAGAAAAAAAATAAAAATATTTTTAAAACGGCATTTAGCGTAATAAAGATAAAAAATAAAAATAAAAATAATTTTTTAATTTAGTGTAAAATAAGAGCAGAATGAAAAACGACTTTTAGTCGTTTTTTATTTTTTGTTTTCATTTTCTCATCTCTCGAGTAAACAGAGAGAGACATTAATGAGTTTTTTTACTAAAAACAATCTCTTTATAGAACTACCAAACGCATTTTTAAAAATGATTTATGTCTGAGATTAAAAACGTTTTTATTTTCATTTTCATACAAAAAAATAAAATCATTTTAGAACGAATTCCAAACGCGCCCATAGCATATTCGTCATATTGAGTTGGAATAAATTACTCGTATCGTGATACTATATCTAAGAAGCATGAATAAATATCGTTTAGGAAAATATATGTCTATGCCTTTACATTAGCCATAATATTGCTGAACGATTGATCGTAATATCCTGTTTGAAAGTAGCTGTACTATCAATTACTGTAATATATGAGACTCCTTTGGCGTTTTACATTACTGTTTGTGGATTTTCTCATAGTTGTGTTGTGGCTATCTGCAACAATTTAAGTGCTAAGTTCTCCAAAAGAAACCAAGAAAGTACTAATAATTTAAAAAATATATACTAATTGAAGCTAGCTCAAGTGGTTGGGTACGTGAGTGTGTGCATGTGTATTATTTGCGACGATCGCTGTCGTCGCAAATAAAAAAATATTTGTGATGACAAGTCGTCGTAAAAAATAGATTCCCTTTGGCGGCAAAAATCCGCGCCATTAGAAATTGCGCGCCTAAACTATTTGCGACGACATTGAACTTATTAGCGACGATATGCTTAATTTATTTAACGGGAGTTAATTGCGACGACATGTCGTCGCAAATAATGAAATATTTGCGACGACAAATGTTGTCGCAAATAAGGTCGTCGTAAATGACCTTTATTGTTGTAGTGTGTCCACTGTGCCATTAAGTTCTGAATACTGATTTCATTTTTTATTAGTTAAGTGAGATCTATAGACCCTGCACTCTATAAAAAAAATTGAAAGATGCGTCTCATAACACCCTCCATTCTACTTTTTACACACTCATTTTTAATAAAACTTTTTATAAAGCAAAAAATTTTTTAAAAAAATTAAAAAAAAAAAAAAAAAAAAAAAAAAAAAAACTCAATACACACCCTAATTGCCTTAAAACAAATAATGCTTTTCTCGTCACATAAAAATTAGAGTAACTCACATGAAAGAGAACTACTTGCTAACAAAGACATGCTTTTGTTTTCCCTAAAGACATTCAAGTCTCGTCTTGTTCAACGTTAATGCAAATCGAGATCCAGAACAAATTCGGTCGGTTCATAAATCTGGCTTCTTGCTGGGTGGACTCCTAAAAATTTTGGTGCCCTATACGATTTATTTTGATGTCTTGACATTTGGAGTCACTTATACATTAATATTGACAAAAATAAGTCGTGATATTATATTATGGAGTTTTTTTTTTTTTCACAGAAACAAAGTGTGACGTGCTTTCAACTAGAAGAAACAATCATCAAATATTCTATATATCTATTTGTTCATATAATAAAATGTAAGAACAATACATATGATAAAAAAACTAAAGCACATAATGTATTACAATACAATGAACATGGTTGAAAAGATAAACTGTTAAATCTAGTGTACTAAGATCTTAATTCTTATGTCGTGTTTGATGTATTGTCTAGACTGAAGTTTATTTTAATTTTTACCCAAAAAGAAAAAGATAAAAGGTTCGAGAAAATTGTAATTTTGCTTAGTAGGTGAGTGGAAAAAGAAAAAAATAATAATAATACAATTTAGATCTAGGGATTTTTTTTTTGAAACTTTAAGAGGGGCACCACAAGTAATAATCAAAATTTAAAATTTAATTGATGGGTGGTTTAAGAAAGGGTGTGAAAAAGTAGTACAAAAGATGACAATAGACTCACTCAAAAACATAATAAACACTGACTAACAAGGGACTGTTTTGTTTTGTTTTTTAATATTAAGAGGAGAAAATTATACACCCCAACAAAGTTAGGACATAGCACCCATTAAGCCATTTTTTTTTTTATAGTTACTGATCAAATTATTAAACATCAAACTGTCTCAACTCAATTTCATAAAAATCAATACAATTAAAAAGGATAATTTTAATATGCCACTCGAATTTTAAGAAGAGTACTTTTCACTCCCTGATATATGTGCCCTAGTTCAGAATATCCTTATATTTATAAAACAAATAAAATGATAATTATATTTCTTATACTTTTATAAATACCTCTCAAACTATTAATTTTAAGTCAACTTGCCTCTTAAATTATACTTTTGTAACAACATGCTCCCAAGGAGGGAGGGGGTGGGGGTGGGAGTGTTTTGAATTACTTTTCATATTTCAAGAATGAATGAACTCCTTTCAGAATTTGAGAGACATATTGAAACATGAGTTCGGAGGACATTTATGAAATTAACCCAAATAAAAATACAAAATTAAGGCACTTCGGCAAAACTATACCATTTCATAGCATTAACTCATATCTTTTCCTTAAAAGAACAAAAAAATAGCCATGTAAAATCTAATATTGCTTTAATTTCCAAATGGAGAATGCGACATTTACTTTAGCATTAGTAAATATTCTAAGAATTCAAAACAATTTTCTCGGTGTGAGAAAAAAAAGACAAATATCTTTAAAAGTGTATACGTCTGTATTGATTTTTACCATTTATTCTTTATTAATATCATTTTTAGTCAGATTAGTCAAAAATGTATTAATCAAGAGTAACGCGTATAAATCTAGACTCATCACTGTCTAAGGATAAGTTTAACATTTTCTCAGTACATATTTATAACCAATTTATTCACATTACACTTTTTATGAAAAAAATTAAAGAAAAACAACTTCAAAAAACTAATACGCAATATTTTAAGGTGGGCGGGTCGGTAATGAAAATTTCTTTTCACTCCAACATCAATCGATCAAAAAGTTAAGAGATATTTATGTTACACACCACAAAATATAGCTGAAAATCGATTTATACCATAGGTACAAAGAGTTTTGGTTTTTCTGCTATGTGGTAGAACAAAAACAAAACTAAAAAAACAAAAATACCTTTAAGCCCATAGGCTGTTTCTGATTCTCCTCTTCCTTTTCATTCTCTCTATCTTTCACCTCTTTTTCTTCCCCACTGACCAGTGACAGAGCCAAGATTATATTTCAAGAGGAGCATAAATTAAAAATGTAAAGAATTTATCAATGCTAACAATATTAACTACTAATATTATTAGCTAGTTGGAGCATATTTTAAACACATGCATATTGTGCCTTACAAAGTCTTAGCACGATAATGGTTGCAGGTACTTTTACGCTTAGTCGTGTTCTTGTGAATGACATAATTAACATGTTTTATGCGCTTGATAGAGAAAAGATGTTTAAAATAGTAATTGAGAGTGTTATTTAAAAAAAAAAAATTTCTTAAGGATGTATTTGACAAATATCATTTAAAATTTTCTCGTGAGGCTCACTTTTGATAGAATGAAGATCACATGAAATAATATTTTAGAAGGGACAAATTTAGAAAAAAAAAAGTTTTAACTGGAGTGAATTAAAGAAAAATAATTCAATTAGGTATACTAAAAATTATAGAATTTAATAGGTAAGAACAAGACAAACAATTAGAAAAAAACCAACTAGTTTAAACCAAATTATATTATCGCTGCCTTGTCCGTTCAATCATCGAAGTTCAATGAGTGCAGTAAACGTTGATCTTTAGTAAGATTCACGTTCTCACGATGGAGAGAACTTGCTTCGTCAAGATCTGCATCGCCATCATAGTGAAGAGAGCGTCCACGGCGCCGGCGACGTAGTGAGGAATATATATTCATGCTGTCGTCGTCTACATAAGTTATGAAACCATCAAAGATCTGATCTTTAAACATCACGACGCGAGGGAATCGTGTTCTCCGATCTGGTAGCTAAGCGTAGCGGCCCGTAAAGATTGAGGCTCTGTTTCTTACCGTGTGCGAATAATGTGAGATCTCCATAAGTTTATTGTCGTTTGTTTCTTTTTTATTAATTTTTCAATTTGTTCAATCTTTTGTTTTTGAAATTTTTGTGATTTTTTTTTCTTTTATTTTACGGATTATATTGAATTTTTCTTTGTGATTTTTCATGTATTTTATGATTTTAGTGCCATCAGTAGCGACTGTTTCCTGTGTATACTAGTCGGTATAATGATCGGACACCGTTGGTAACTGACGGTAATCATAGCTAGATATTGGTATCATAGAGTACGTTTATGATCCGTTTAGTTCGTTGATTTGAGTTTTTAATTTGAATTGAGATGTGATTTTATGTGAGAGCTTTTCACTGTAGCAAAAAAGTTAGATGTGACTGTTTGTGAGAGCTTTTTACTGTAGTAAAACTCGAATTCTAAACTCGAATCAGCGAAATGAACGAGGTATTTCAAATACAGTGTGACGATGTGGCGTTGACATTATATGCAATTATCTATTTTTTCGGCATGAGTAATCCAAGCCTTGAATTTGTATTATTCTTGTAAAAGTTTTTAAATGTTTAGAGTTAATTCTACAAATAGTCCATAAATATTATCTCAATCATACTTTGTTATCTAGCTTTTAAAAATGTCCCAAACTTAACACTAATCTATCAATTGTTTCTTTTAATTTAATTTTTGCTAGTCTAACTACGTTGAGTTTTTTATTTTTTTTTAGTAGCAACTAACTACGTTGAGTTGATTGCGCTATGGTGTGGTTAATGCTTTAATTATTTGCTTGATCACCGATTAAGTGATTAGGAGGCCGTAATGAACTTGGAAAAGGGAATTGTGTGTTTGTTAAGCGTAGAGTGACATTAAGCTAGTGGGATAGGAATATACTTGCTAGATTACTGTAGCTATTA